TTTTTTTTTTTTTTTTTTTTTTTTTTTTTTTTTTTTTTTTTTTTTTTTTTTTTTTTTCAGTTTCCCTGATCCATTGAGCAAATGCTGAGAAGGCCCCTTGTTTTGCTTCTGGATGTAATTGTAGCTTCACTATGCGCACGTTTTGTTGAACTCTCCTTTTGCATGTAACGGTAGGAGTAGAGGTGAGGGCAAGTTACTATTTTGATAGCAATGCAGAAAAATCATATCTGCAATTCGTTTTCCGATGCAAATAAGTTTTCTATAACTGGGGAAAATTGCTAGTTGTTTTAACATTGCACGCGCATTTTAAATTTTATTTTTATTTATTTATCTTTAACTTTTACTCATCTTTCAACTATTTATAGTCAAAATGATGAAAAGGGCTTTCGGAACTCAAGAAAACGTGCGCAGATGATCTCCCTCTTACGTCACATACTGTTTTTACTGATTTTTAATAAATAAATCTAAAACAAAATATTTATTCTTATTGTAACAATTTATACATCAAAGCTTTTTTAAAAATTTATTTAATTTTTTAAAAATTTGATTTATTATATTAATGTTTTTGCATAAGACTCAAGAAAAAATTATTTTAGAAAATGTTGAAAAAATTAAAAAACAAATATCAACGGTATACTGGTACCGGTACAACGGTAATACTAAACTATAAGTACCCCCTATGCAACGCACTGTAACGCTGCCTCAAACCCCCTCCCTCTCTTTCGCGTTACAGAATGTATGATCCCCTATTCAATAATCCAAATTATTTTTCCAGAACTTAGTTTGGTGAGATTGTAGTAAAAGACGTGGCCACTTATTGTAAGAAGCTTCACAAACAATCAAGTTTACGGAAACGAAAGTTTATTTAGGAACGTTACTACTGTATAGAATGAATATTCAATACTGACACCAGGAATGGCAGTCTTAGTAAACTTAGGAAATATTTTTAAGTATTAAAAAAATATTAAAGTTTAAAAATTATAACTAATTTGTAAGTATTTATGACATTAAAATTTCATAAAATTGGTTTGATTTTGTAAACAAAATACGAAAACAATGGCAAAATAATATCAAAATAGTTTCCAAGTTCACTAAGATTGACGTCTTGCCATCCGTGACAGAATTGTTGATAGCTCGAGTTACCCAATAAGTATGTGAAACCGTAGCAGTCACCCACGGTAACGTTAGTAAACCAGACCAATTTGTGAGAAGGCCCTACTGTAAAATTATCTCCGTTTTAATTCCTAAATTGAGTTAAAATAAATCAAAGAGAAAACAGCAATGCCAATTCCCGCCGATCAGGATTCTTTGTGTGGTTTCATTGCCTGTGCTCCTAGTCGTCTAGCTGCGTTTTGGTTAGCCGGCTAAGACCGCTACGAATACATTTTAAAATTGAACATAGGACCCTAAATGAATTATGAAGAAAATGGGACTTACTTTATGGACCGTTCTAGCACCAAAGCGAAATCCACATGGTTTTCAGCCCAAGATGTGTGCATCTTAGCTGACTTGGTTAGAAGTCACTCGGACGCGTTTAGAAGTCTAACAAATTCACCATCCAGAAACGAGAAGGTGAGGTGTTGGCAAGTCGTTTGTTTCTTTCGTCATTTCGGAGTTTAACTGTGTGTTCTTGCTCTTAGAAAAAAGTCTGGGAAATAATAGCCCAGCTTCTTGCGAAGAAGACGAATGTGCCAAGAACAACTCGTCAGGTGCAAAAAAAATGGTCTAATCTCCGGTCTGCTGTTCGAAGGGCATCTCGATCATCTGTAGGGACTTCTCTTCTTCCTCATTACTTCCTTCCTGTGGTGAAATACTTGGAAGAAGAGGAAAATGACGTCTGTATTTCTCAAGAAATACCCGAAGAAGAAGTGGACGGTATGAGGTTATAAATGTCACTCGTAAAACAGTACCTGACAGTACTTAGAAATAACCCCTCTTAATTAATTAATATTTTGTTTTAGATTTACCACAAACCATTGAATTCCCACAAAATAGCCGTCAAACGTATGCCATGAAAATAAAGCACATTCAAGAACAGCAGGAAGCAGATGTTGAAAGATTTACTGTCTTGAAACAAATCAAACTTGAAAGTGGTGATGCTTCTGAAGGTCGTGAAGTATGTACATTGAAATTTTTGTTTTTACCATGTAAGGTATTGTTTGATTGAAGGTGGTTCATAAAAGTAATAGTTGGCCATTGTTTTGAGTGATGTCTCTGATTGAAGATTATTTGCAGTTCAGTGTTTCTTAGCGCACAGCCATGTGGATGTCATTCTTTACGTTCTGTGTAAAAGAAATGAGAGTTAAATGTCAGGTATCATCTTTTTTATGACTTACGTAAATAGCTAAACTTTGTGATAATTGTTCATGTCCAATTTCTTATAATAGTTATATTTTAAAACAATGGTGGCAACAGGTTCATGTTAAATATCTGACAAAACTATCATGTTATCATTTCAGTTTATTATTTTTAGCATTGTTGTTTCATGAAAGGACAGTGACGTTCAAGAAATCGCTGCAGTTCCAGAAACTGAAATTCAAGAGGAATTGCAATTCTCACACGTGACACTACCAAGTAAGGAGGTACAAGTTAACTTGCCTCTAGTTTAAGAGAAACCTGCTTCTTCATTAGTTTTGTCTTACCTTTCTGTAATTTTCACTGAAAACGAACTTCTAGTTTTAAGGACTTCATCAATTTCAGCAAATGTGCAGTAGTTAAACATAGAAATTCAGTTTTTTACCTTCATAAATCATAGTTAATGTATCAGTGCTCAGTGTATTGAAGATGACAATCGCATAATGATTATATAGTTTACAGGACATGAAGAGAACTTACATCGTTACTTGTTTTGTGGACTCTGTAATCTGTTGTACTTAGTGTCTTAAATTATTGTAATAATCTATTTTGTATGTTATTTATTAAATACCTGGCTACACTGTTACTGCTTAAACTTTGAATTTCATGATGATTATACATACCACAACAGTAGGTGTTACGAACATTATATGGTTCAATGTCAACCAACTTAAATTACCAAGAGTTATATAAGAATTTTGATGCAAGCAAATGAAATTTGAAATTTATACTCAGCTTATCTTCTATTTATTTTATGTGTTTAGATTCCCTTATGTCTGAAAGTTGGTGACAAATTTCTTATTTATAGATCCGGAAACGGTTCATTCTGATGCGGATCCAAATGGTACTGCTACTGTGTGGATAAGTGAGGGTAGGTACATTTTATATCTGTGAAATTTCTATTTATTGGCTTACTGTTTTATAAAAGTTGATTTTAGGTCATGTTTTCTAAAAGCCTTTGTATTTATACATTTTTTTTACCGACTAGAAATATATTTATAAATTTTTATTTTTATATACAATCCATTTTCTTGTAAATTAATCTTGCATTGATAAGTGCAGTATGTTCATTACTTTCATCAACATTAATCTTAAAAATGTCAGGTATCGTTTTTTTTAAGACATGTAAAAAGCTAAACTTTGTAATGTGTATGTATATATACACACAGACACATACACAAAAACATACTAATGTCAATAAACGAGCATGTCAATAACTGAGGAAATGCCCATTTATTGACATTAGTATGTTTTTTATCAAATTAGAAATATAAGTAAATCACAAATACTGCCTCGTTTTAAATGCAGAATTTCTTTCTTTAGACCTCTGTTACTCAGGTAGTTCGTGTTTTACATCTGCACTGAAAGATATTACGTTTGAACCCATTTGATCATTACGAATTGGCTCCTTTTGTAATGTTTTGGTACATGGGCCATAGAGGCAATTGCTACAGCTGAGATCATAGATTCTTCAGCAAGAACAATATCATATTTTATTCTGATGTATGAACTATTCAAATCAGCGGAAACAGCAGAATTTGTCCACCTTGTTTTCATGTTTCACTGGATGAGGAGAAGTTTGATTGATGGTGGGTGGGGGCACACACACGCGTGGGTGGGAGGCACACACACGCGTGTGCAGCATGTGTGTTGAAGGGAGGGATCCATTTCAGTCCAGTTCCCATAAATATTTTTCAAGTAATAATGTTTTGAATTGTTGGCCTGAAATAAAATTATAATCATATCCATCATTGGAACACTAATTTGAATTTAATGAAATCTATATATGGTAATTATTTCGAATAAATTGAGTAACATTACAACAAATGATAGCTTTGTGGAGTGTCTTGACTCTACCTGGAATATACCACTCCAGGATCCCTTCCACCCACCCTTTTTCATCATTAGTTTAATTAAAAATTATTTATAGCAACAAGTGTTGACTAAATCTCATTACCAGAAATTTTTGCTTCCATGTAATAGAAACTACTTTGCATCAAAAAGCTACAAAATTGAAGTAATACTGCTGCTCTCAAAATAACCAAACCCCCATACTCCCTTTGCATCTAGTGAAAAGAAGGATCAAGTAAACATGCTTTGAAAATAACAGTCCATGTTCTTCATACTCTGATTGCAAGAACAGCACATTGATTCTGAATCATGTAAGTTTGTGGATCATTCATTGAGAATGGATAAGCTGGTGCTCATACCCATGCTCTGACTTTTTGACAAAATAAATGTAAAACTAGATCTATTTTAACATAGCATTTGTATTTAAGAATCACAAAACCAAAAAATGTAAATGTGTATGTACTAATTTGATGGAAGAATTGAAGTTTCTGGAGATTAGAATTTTGTAATTGTTGCAGTTGTGAAAATTGTCTCTTTAATACACACCCCCTTCCTGTACATTACGAGTTAGATAGCGATTTTCTTTGTAAGTTTTAGTCCCTTTCCATCCCCATCTCAGAGTTTCTTGGGCTGTCTCACCCTGCACTATCATTTTCTCCTTGCACATCATATGTGTATAGTATTGTTAAATTTGCTGCCGGCATTGTAGTCGTTCTGGAGCATACCCACCTACTTTTTTTTATAATTTTTTTTAATATACACCAAATACATTTCTTATTATGGTTCTGTGTATATTATTTGCAGGTGAGAACGTAGAAAATGGAGCTGAACAATCTGAATCGGAGGATATATTTTTGGAAGAGACACAAGGTAAAATTTCTTTCATGGTTTTTCACTTCTGCGGTTTTTAAACTATTTTTTCTTGAGTCAAGACAAAAATGTCAAAGTTTCTGTTTATTTAATTTCATAGATACATTTTCACCCTCATATTTTACATTCTCTTATATTACTTTGGACTATAGAGTGTATATTGTAAATCTGCAGTGAATACAGTAGTGCCAATTTTATCAACAGAAAAGCTCGTTTTGTGGGTTCCTGATTGTAAGAAAGTGGATTTTTCTTTCTTTTGTCTATAGTTTATTATTTTACCTATAATGTTAGACCATTGTCAGAATCCGTGACGTGGGGGCCATTAATGCTAAAAAAAATATTTTTGGCCTAAATGTTCTTTTGTCTGCCTTTGGGCAATGCTAGACCTGAAACTGACTGGATTTTCAACAAACGTGGTGGTCCTTGATAGTGTAGATATGAATGATGGCACATATATGAATTTGAAACAAATATTTTAATTTAGGGAGCACTTAACATTTTCAACATTTTCTCCAAAATTGCCAAAATATTTTGCTTGATAAGAGCAAAGAACATTTATAGAATTGGTACAGATCTTATGGTATCTAAAATCTCTGAATTTTGAAAATTCCCTTAGTGTATATATTTTTCAATGTCTTCCACCAACTTCATTTTTGAAGATATAGAATTTTTTGTTAGTGAAATCTGTTCAAGATTCTTAGTTATATTATGAACACTTTTTCAAAATATGGGAAGTTTTCACACAGTTGTGAAATAAAGGCAACTTTTAAGAAATACATAAGCTATATTTTCTCAGAAAACTCTCAAAATATTTTCCTTAAATTGTTTGCTCAAAAAGAGTAAAGTTTTCTTTATAAAATGTCATTCAGGTTGAATTATCATTAAAACCATGTAATTTTGAGTTGTGTTGAGAACATTCTAATGTTTTTCAAACCAGTGTTTTGCTTTTATTATTGTAGCTAGAGATACCTTTTCAGTGCACCCTATTTCTTGATGTTAGATCTTTTAATAATGTAATGTGCTGTTATTTTAACTATGACAAGTTCTCATGATCTAGAAGACTATTTTTTGGAAGGTTATGCAAACAAAACATTTAGTATCTTGTTAGCAAGTACAGTTATTGGCATTTCTGAGAGCTTGTCTTGGTTGGGAGGTTAGCAGTTTAGTCTGGTAATTTACAGACCAGGATTCGATTCTAGATAATACTAAAGAACTTTTCTTTTTTTAAGAATATTTCTTCAGGTAGAGTAAAGTGAGCTTATAAATAGATCCCGAAAGTTAGGCAAAACTCCTTTTTTATTATTGTGATGATTTATAACTTTTAACAATAGGAATCACTTTATTGTATTTATGGAGCTTTAATAGATTTTAATCTTGCCTATTTTAGC